TTTACATTAGCGGCACGGTTAATAGCGCTTTTCCATGCTTTCAAAAACAAAAGAAGGTTCTATTAAATAACTTTTATGGCATATTGAATGTTGCTCTATTTCTTCTTTCAGAGTTGGTTTACCCTTTTGGAAAGAAGAGATCACTATTATTTTTCTTTACTAGAATCTTCATAAGAGGAGCATACGTCTAACTAGTTCTTTTCCTCCATTTCACTGCAAAAGTATATAGTACGAATAAAACTAAAGTTCATGAGTGAAGGTGAGCATTCGAATGATAACCTATACAACATACGTCATAGGAATAAGAACAAAGGGACATACATTTAATCATTCCTTCTGCACTACTTAGGGTGTGTGTCCTTCGAGTGCTTTTGTTATGAAAATATTTTGAAAATGGTTTGATTTCGTGAAAAATACTTGGTGTTGACCAAGGGTTTATTTGGACCGACGCTACTGTTTATGCGAAAATTTCATTACCACCACAAATTTCGTTTGCCTCCTTTTTAGTTATTGTTTTAAATAATTATTTATTTTTTTATATTAGCGACGGTTCAGGCCGACGCTATTGTTTATGAAAAAATATTCATTTCCCATAACAAACTTTGTTTGCCTCCTTATTAGTTATTGTCTTAATTAATTCTTATTTTCTTATATTAGCGACGGTTCAGGCCGACGCTACAGTTTGTCCAAAATTTTTAATTTTCCCCCACGAATTTCGTTTGGCTCCTTTAAACTTATTGTTTTAATTAATTATTATTTTTATATTAAAAACTAGTACTTTAACAGCTCTTTTAAAGTTCTATTAAACAAAAGCGTTTACATTAGCGGCACGGTTAATAGCGCTTTTCCATGCTTTCAAAAACAAAAGAAGGTTCTATTAAATAACTTTTATGGCATATTGAATGTTGCTCTATTTCTTCTTTCAGAGTTGGTTTACCCTTTTGGAAAGAAGAGATCACTATTGTTTTTCTTTACTAGAATCTTCATAAGAGGAGCATACGTCTAACTAGTCCTTTTCCTCCATTTCACTGCAAAAGTATATAGCACGAATAAATCTAAAGTTAATGAGTGAAGGTGAGCATTTGAATGATAACCTATACAACATACGTCATAGGAATAAGAACAAAGGGACATACATTTAATCATTCCTTCTGCACTACTTAGGGCGTGTGTCCTTCCAGTGCTTTTGTTATGAAAATATTTTGAAAATGGTTTGATTTCGAGAAAAATACTTGGTGTTGACCAAGTGTTTATTTGGACCGACGCTACTGTTTATGCGAAAATTTCATTACCACCACAAATTTCGTTTGCCTCCTTTTTAGTTATTGTTTTAAATAATTATTTATTTTTTTATATTAGCGACGGTTCAGGCCGACGCTATTGTTTATGAAAAAAATATTCATTTCCCATAACAAACTCCGTTAGCCTCCTTATTAGTTATTGTCTTAATTAATTCTTATTTTCTTATATTAGCAACGGTTCAGGCCGACGCTACAGTTTGTCCAAAATTTTTAATTTTCCCCCACGAATTTCGTTTGGCTCCTTTAAACTTATTGTTTTAATTAATTATTATTTTTATATTAAAAACTAGTACTTTAACAGCTCTTTTAAAGTTCTATTAAACAAAAGCGTTTACATTAGCGGCACGGTTAATAGCGCTTTTCCATGCTTTCAAAAACAAAAGAAGGTTCTATTAAATAATTTTTATGGCATATTGAATGTTGCTCTATTTCTTCTTTCAGAGTTGGTTTACCCTTTTGGAAAGAAGAGATCACTATTGTTTTTCTTTACTAGAATCTTCATAAGAGAAGCATACGTCTAACTAGTCCTTTTCCTCCATTTCACTGCAAAAGTATATAGCACGAATAAATCTAAAGTTAATGAGTGAAGGTGAGCATTCGAATGATAACCTATACAACATACGTCATAGGAATAAGAACAAAGGGACATACATTTAATCATTCCTTCTGCACTACTTAGGGTGTGTGTCCTTTGAGTGCTTTTGTTATGAAAATATTTTGAAAATGGTTTGATTTCGAGAAAAATACTTTGCGTTGACAAAGGGTTTATTTGGACCGACGCTACTGTTTATGCGAAAATTTCATTACCACCACAAATTTCGTTTGCCTCCTTTTTAGTTATTGTTTTAAATAATTATTTATTTTTTTATATTAGCGACGGTTCAGGCCGACGCTATTGTTTATGAAAAAAATATTCATTTCCCATAACAAACTCCGTTAGCCTCCTTATTAGTTATTGTCTTAATTAATTCTTATTTTCTTATATTAGCAACGGTTCAGGCCGACGCTACAGTTTGTCCAAAATTTTTAATTTTCCCCCACGAATTTCGTTTGGCTCCTTTAAACTTATTGTTTTAATTAATTATTATTTTTATATTAAAAACTAGTACTTTAACAGCTCTTTTAAAGTTCTATTAAACAAAAGCGTTTACATTAGCGGCACGGTTAATAGCGCTTTTCCATGCTTTCAAAAACAAAAGAAGGTTCTATTAAATAACTTTTATGGCATATTGAATGTTGCTCTATTTCTTCTTTCAGAGTTGGTTTACCCTTTTGGAAAGAAGAGATCACTATTATTTTTCTTTACTAGAATCTTCATAAGAGGAGCATACGTCTAACTAGTTCTTTTCCTCCATTTCACTGCAAAAGTATATAGCACGAATAAAACTAAAGTTCATGAGTGAAGGTGAGCATTCGAATGATAACCTATACAACATACGTCATAGGAATAAGAACAAAGGGACATACATTTAATCATTCCTTCTGCACTACTTAGGGTGTGTGTCCTTCGAGTGCTTTTGTTATGAAAATATTTTGAAAATGGTTTGATTTCGTGAAAAATACTTGGTGTTGACCAAGGGTTTATTTGGACCGACGCTACTGTTTATGCGAAAATTTCATTACCACCACAAATTTCGTTTGCCTCGTTTTTAGTTATTGTTTTAAATAATTATTTATTTTTTTATATTAGCGACGGTTCAGGCCGACGCTATTGTTTATGAAAAAATATTCATTTCCCATAACAAACTTTGTTTGCCTCCTTATTAGTTATTGTCTTAATTAATTCTTATTTTCTTATATTAGCGACGGTTCAGGCCGACACTACAGTTTGTGCTAAATTTTTAATTTTCCCCCACGAATTTCGTTTGGCTCCATTAAACTTATTGTTTTAATTAATTATTATTTTTATATTAAAAACTAGTACTTTAATAGCTCTTTTAAAGTGCTATTAAACAGAAGCGTTTACATTAGCGGCACGGTTAATAGCGCTTTTCCATGTTTTCAAAAACAAAAGAAAGTTCTAGTAAATAACTTTTATGGCATATTGTATGTTGCTCTATTTCTTCTTTCAGAGTTGGTTTACCCTTTTGGAAAGAAGAGATCACTATTGTTTTTCTTTACTAGAATCTTCATAAGAGAAGCATACGTCTAACTAGTCTTTTTCCTCCATTTCACTGCAAAAGTATATAGCACGAATAAAACTAAAGTTCATGAGTGAAGGTGAGCATTCGAACGATAACCTATACAGCATACGTCCTAGGAATAAGAACAAAGGGACATACATTTAATCATTCCTTCTACACTACTTAGGGCGTGTGTCCTTCGAGTGCATTTGTTATGAAAATATTTTGAAAATGGTTTGATTTCGAGAAAAATACTTGGTGTTGACCAAGCGTTTATTTGGACCTACGCTACTGTTTATGCGAAAATTTCATTACCACCACAAATTTTATTTGCCTCCTTTTTAGTTATTGTTTTAAATAATTATTTTTTTTTTTTATATTAGCGACGGTTCAGGCCGACGCTATTGTTTATGAAAAAATATTCACTTCCCATAACAAACTCCGTTTGCCTCCTTATTAGTTATTGTCTTAATTAATTCTTATTTTCTTATATGAGCGACGGTTAAGGCCGACGCTACAGTTTGTGCTAAATTTTTAATTTTCCCCCACGAATTTCGTTTGGCTCCTTTAAATATATTGTTTTAATTAATTATTATTTTATATTAAAAACTAGTACTTTAACAGCTCTTTTAAAGTGCTATTAAACAAAAGCGTTTACATTAGCGGCACGGTTAATAGCGCTTTTCCATGCTTTCAAAAACAAAAGAAAGTTCTATTAAATAACTTTTATGGCATATTATATGTTGCTCTATTTCTTCTTTCAGAGTTGGTTTACCATTTTGGACAGAAGAGATCACTATTGTTTTTCTTTACTAGAATTTTCTTAAGAGGAGCATATTCTAACTAGTCCTTTTCCTCCATTTCACTGCAAAAGTATATAGCACGAATAAAACTAAAGTTCATGAGTGAAGGTGAGCATTCGAATGATAACCTATACAACATACGTCCTAGGAATAAGAACAAAGGGACATACATTTAATCATTCCTTCTGCACTACTTAGGGTGTGTGTCCTTCGAGTGCATTTGTCATGAAAATATTTTGAAAATGGTTTGATTTCGAGAAAAATAGTTGGTGTTGACCAAGCATTTATTTGGACCGATGCTATTGTTTATGCGAAAATTTCATTACCACCACAAATTTCGTTTGCCTCCTTTTTAGTTATTGTTTTAAATAATTATTTATTTTTTTATATTAGCGACGATTCAGGCCGACGCTATTGTTTATGAAAAAAATATTCATTTCCCATAACAAACTCGGTTATCCTCCTTATTAGTTATTGTCTTAATTAATTCTTATTTTCTTATATTAGCGACGGTTCAGGCCGACGCTACAGTTTGTGCTAAATTTTTAATTTTCCCCCACGAATTTCGTTTGGCTCCTTTAAACTTATTGTTTTAATTAATTATTATTTTTATATTAAAAACTAGTACTTTAACAGCTCTTTTAAAGTTCTATTAAACAAAAGCGTTTACACACTACAACATTTGTTGTCTCTGGCAACACTTTTTTAAGTAACATGTAGAAATTGTTGCCTTAAATTCATATAGGCAACGATTTACGATTGTTGTCAAAAATATGTTTGCAACCCTTGATAATCGTTGCCTAAAATACTTTTGGGGACGTTTATGGAGCGATACTCTTTTATTTTTTTGCCAACGGTTGTTAATTGTGCCCTTAACTGCTTTTGGGGACGATTTTAGAGCGTTAAAATATTATTTCTTTAGCAATGTTTGACAATTGTCCCCTAAAATATTTTTGGGGACATTTTTAGATTGTTACATTAATTCTAATAAGAGGCTACATTTCCGAAATGTTGTATAAATTTTTTTAGAATTATCAAATTTTTGGTGGCAATCTTCCCTCCAAAACTTATACACTAAAAAACATATATTTTTCTCTAAACATTATTAATATATATAAAAAAAATATTTTTCTAACACAGGAATTTAAAAATAAAAAATTTTAATTAAACAGAAAATAAAAAATTATATATATATATATATATATATATATATATATATATATATATATATATATATATATATATATATATATATATATATATATATATATATATTAGTCTAAAACAGAAATCTAAAACTTATATATATATATTTAAAAATAATTCATTAAACAGAAAATAAAAAGGGCATGGTGCAGCGGCGGAGGCGGAAGAGGAAACGGTCCATCCTCCACATTCTGCAGCTGGCATGGTGTCACTTGCGGCGGAGGTGGAAGAGGAAACGGAAGAGTGGTTTCACTTAATGTGACCGGTCTATGCGGCGGTGAACTGGCGTCTTCCATCGGAGAGTTATCCGAGCTTCGAGTTTTGTCGATTCCTGAAAACATCTTCTTTGGCGAAATTCCGGTGAGTTTGATGAATCTCCGGGGACTTGAGGTTCTTGAGCTTCAAGGTAACAACTTTTCAGGAAATGTGTCTTTACAGATGAGTTATTTTGAATCTCTTAAACTTGTTAATCTATCTGGTAATGCTTTTTCTGGTAGTATTCCGGATGGGTTTATTTTTTCTAAGAATATGAAAATTGTTGATTTGTCTGATAATCAATTTTCTGGTTCGATTCTTGTGAATGATTCTGTTGGTTGTGATTCTTTGAGGCATTTGAAACTGTCTCATAATTTTTTGACTGGTGAGATTCCTCCTCAATTTGGGAAATGTAGAAACTTGAGGACCCTTTTGGTTGATGGGAATATATTGGAAGGTAAAATGCCTCTTGAGATTGGGCTTGCGGTCGAACTTCGTGTTCTTGATGTTTCGCAAAACAGTCTCACGGGGAGAATCCCGGAACTGTTAGGTAATTGTTTGAAGTTGTCTGTTCTTGTTCTTACTGATTTGTTTGATGATCGCGGCGGTTCCGACGCGGGTAGTTTGTTGGAGGATAAGTTTAGAGGTGAATTCAATGCCTTTGTTGGGGATATTCCCCATGCAGTTTTGTCGCTTTCGAGTTTGAAGATTTTGTGGGCCCCGAGAGCGAATTTTGGCAGACGGTTACCTGTTGAATGGACAGATTCGTCGTGCTCTCTTAGAATACTCAATTTGGCTGAGAATGATGTTACTGGTGTCGTGCCCGCGAGTTTAGGGATGTGTCGGAATTTGACTTTCTTGGACTTGAGTTCTAACAATTTAGAGGGATATTTTGTGTTGGATCAGCTCCGTGTTTCTTGTATGAACAACCGATGAGCCATACTCGATAATTTTCCCCTACCATTTTCTTTCGGGGTTCTGTTTGTTGCTTTTTAATTACTGTTTATTCTAGTTGTTTGGTTGACCTATATTTGTACTTTGTGAAAACAGGGGAACGTGTAGTATCCAGGGTATTGTCAGCTACGAATGAGGAAGGTCGAGTTAAATGGGAGAACTCCATCGAACAAGTCACATATGAGGAAGATGCTATTGGTGCTGAAGAAAATGATGAGAGACTTACTAAATCATCTAATGCTTCTGATAAAGCATTTGAGGTCTTAGTAAGTGACATATTTACCTCGTGTTTTGCTTGTGACTTATAGTACTTTGAAGAAAGAATTTTGTTGTAATGGTACTGTTGTCGAGGACCCTGAGTTGGGCCAGGTTTGTCTTCTTTTTTTCATGCGTAATGTACTATTATGCAATCTTTTTATTTCCTCTCATATAATGTGATTCTGTGTGTATTAATATGATTTATGTTTGGAGATGCCTTCACATGAAAGTGAGTTGAACCATATGTTTGTGTAAAAACTAAAAACCATGGTTGAATTCGAAAGCTACAAATCCAAAAACATCACTGGATTGTTCCATTGATACTGGATTGTTCGTTACTGGTTCATATGATCATTATGTTAATGTTTGGGACACTAACACCACTCAGGTTCACTTTAACCTAATTCTAATCATAATTTCATTATTATTTTATGATTATACATTAGGCAATCAAATTTAACTCCTTCATTGTGTTGTGTTGTATTGTATTGTAGGTTGTGGTGAATTTTAAAATGCCTGGTAAGGTGTATAAGACTGCGATGTCTACATTGTCCACGTCTCATATGCTTATTGCAGTTGGAACTGAGGATGTACAAGTTCGGCTTTGTGAATTGTGATATTGCTTCGGGGGCATTTGCTCATACTTTGTCTGGTCATCGAGGTGTGTCGGTGTTCTCGTTTCAACTTCTAACTAACTGTTTTCTGTATTATTATTTATGCTGTGTGTTTCTTACAACAAGTGTTAGCTTATATTTTCATTCAAGTTATTTCACAGTTAATCTTATAAGAGTAAATATCCTGTCTAAGATGGTGCAGATGAGGATAAATATTTTTAATTTATTTATGTATAATTTGGCCCCTTCATAAAATGTGTCAAATTCTGCCACTGGAAGATAACTATATTGAATTCTAACATTATTGGGAACTGTCGTGTCTGTGTGTGATTGTTCTTATTGCATGATGTGATAAATATTATTAAAAGGATGTTTTTGCCTCGCATGATTTCTATGATGTCAGATGGTGTAATGACTGTTGAATGGTCTGCTTCAAGTGAATGGGTCTTGATTACTGGGGGGTGTGGTGGCGCCATACGTTTTTGGGACATAAGGCGTGCTGGTTGTTTCCAAGTTTTAAATCAATCTCGTACACAGCTTGGAAGACGTCCACCAATACTCAAACGTTCTTCCATAACTAAGGTTTCTTTTTTTAACTTTAGCTTATTCCTTGTTTATAGTTTGGGAGATTTAATAGCTGATTATTGCAAGTCATGATTATTTTGTTTGTGTATCTGAGATTTCACCAAGTACTTAATTTCAATGCAAGTATTATGCTTCTTATAATCCCAAAGCCTTATAACTCACAGGAATCAAGTACAAAAATGCGTGATGCACAGAAGAAATTTGTCAATGGCAGTGGCAGTGGACAACTGCCAATTGGCAGGCTATCATCTAGGGGACCCATGAAGCAGAAATTACAGTTAAGCGTTGCATGGTTGAGTTGAAAAATAAATAAAGGTGTTTATTATTGCTATAATTTTAGAGTGAATAAATAATTTAAATGCACACATTTCTGAAATTTGTGGTATTAATTGAACATTTATACATCAAAATTGTAGTGAAGATCTTATTTTTTTTGTAAGAAATGATCTATCATTGAGTTATCCATGTTTATGCAGGAAAAATAAGTCTTTTAGAAAAAGGTTTTCTAGCAAAATGCCCATCAATGTTGATTGATGATTATGTAGATCTTCACAAGTCAAAGGAAATGGATGCAACCAAGTCAAACAATGGTGAAAAACCGGGCAGCAGCGTTAACCGTAGCTATAATCAAAATCAATCAAAAAAAGGAACTCGACAAGAAAGTGTTCAAAATCGGGTAAAAGTCAACGAAGAAGATGAAATCACAAATAGAGAAGAAGAAAAAGGTAATTAGTTTCATATTTCATAATAACGATTTCATGTATTATTTACATATTGGTAGCAAACATGTGATATCATGTTGTTGTGTTATTACTTTATAGAAACATCCCAAAGAAAAACTCGTGGGAAAACTTTGTGCAAACAGATTCATGCAAGATACATACATACATACAGTTAAAGGCTATTGTAAGTCCTGAATAGTGAACCAAAAACAGAATGGTTTTCATAATTGATTTATTTGCTAGTAAGCTCATGTCACCTATTACAGTTTAGAACGGAAATTTACATCCATTAAAAACCTTCATAATTAATTCACATCCATGAGATGTGAAGAATATAAACAATGTGTTTTGCTCATTGGTTTAGTTTTTATTTGTGCGAGGTTTAATTCTTGTTGATGTCTTAATTGTCCTTTGGTCCAAAAATACTTATGGTTAATGTGTTTTATTTTATTTTCTTATGCAGCAATGTATCAATGAAGATGTTGAAAAGGATGATATAAATGATGAAATTCAAGAGGACGACATAAATGATAAAATTTAAGAGGACGACCTAAATGATAAAATTCAAGAGGACGACGTAGATGACGAATTTCAAGAGGACGACATAGATCTAGATGATGAATTTCAAGAGGAGGATATAGATGGTGAATTTCAAGAGGACGACGTAGATGAAGAATTTATGGAGGATGACATATCTAATGAATTTCAAGAGGACGATTTGGATGCTTTACTCCTAGAAGACAAACTTGAATGAGTTGGATGATGTCTTTTTTTTGGCTTGTAGTTGGAAGCATTAAACTTGAAATATGATTTTTGTTCTTTTGCTGAACTATGTTTTTAGTTATTTTACTAGGGTCATACTTCAAAGTATTAAAAGTAATATTGTTACATTAGGCATTTTGTGTACTATATATACTATATCTTGAATTAATGTTTGAACTCGATTTTATTATATTACAACTTTTATGGATGTATGGTTTAAGTTATATAATCAATATTATTTTTGAAGCCAATTATTATTGACTATATTATTTTGATAATAATTGCAAAATTGTATATTTTATGTGGACACTATAAAACAACAACCTATAAGATATGGCTACACTTCAAAAACGATCTTCCTGATTCAGGTTTAAGGCAACGATTGTTAATTGTAGCCGAATTTGGCAACGCAACGCTTAAAAAACGTTGTCTCAGAGGCCGTAAATAATCGTCCCCTATTCCTTTACTATAGGCGACGTTTTTAAAAAGCGTTCCCAAAAAACATTAAAAAAAAACGTTGCCTCAAACAATAGGCAACGCTCGCACAGGAGACGCCCATAAAACGTCCCCTATTATTTTAGGCAACGATTTTCAGAGTTCTGGCAACGTTTTTCAATTGTTGCTGGAGAGCCTAAATGTTGTAGTGACATTAGCGGCACGGTTAATAGCGCTTTTCCATGCTTTCAAAAACAAAAGAAGGTTCTATTAAATAACTTTTATGGAATATTGAATGTTGCTTTATTTCTTCTTTCAGAGTTGGTTTACCCTTTTGGAAAGAAGAGATCACTATTGTTTTTCTTTACTAGAATCTTCATAAGAGGAGCATACGTCTAACTAGTCCTTTTCCTCCATTTCACTGCAAAAGTATATAGCACGAATAAATCTAAAGTTCATGAGTGAAGGTGAGCATTCGAATGATAACCTATACAACATACGTCATAGGAATAAGAACAAAGGGACATACATTTAATCATTCCTTCTGCACTACTTAGGGTGTGTGTCCTTCGAGTGCTTTTGTTATGAAAATATTTTGAAAATGGTTTGATTTCGAGAAAAATACTTGGTGTTGACCAAGGGTTTATTTGGACCGACGCTACTGTTTATGTGAAAATTTCATTACCACCACAAATTTCGTTTGCCTCCTTTTTAGTTATTGTTTTAAATAATTATTTATTTTTTTATATTAGCGACGGTTCATGCCGACGCTATTGTTTATGAAAAAAATATTCATTTCCCATAACAAACTCCGTTAGCCTCCTTATTAGTTATTGTCTTAATTAATTCTTATTTTCTTATATTAGCGACGGTTCAGGCCGACGCTACAGTTTGTCCTAAATTTTTAATTTTCCCCCACGAATTTCGTTTGGCTCCTTTAAACTTATTGTTTTAATTAATTATTATTTTTATATTAAAAACTAGTACTTTAACAGCTCTTTTAAAGTTCTATTAAACAAAAGTGTTTACATTAGCGGCACGGTTAATAGCACTTTTCCATGCTTTCAAAAACAAAAGAAGGTTCTATTAAATAACTTTTATGGCATATTGAATGTTGCTCTATTTCTTCTTTCAGAGTTGGTTTACCCTTTTGGAAAGAAGAGATCACTATTGCTTTTCTTTACTAGAATCTTCATAAGAGGAGCATACGTCTAACTAGTTCTTTTCCTCCATTTCACTGCAAAAGTATATAGCACGAATAAAACTAAAGTTCATGAGTGAAGGTGAGCATTCGAATGATAACCTATACAACATACGTCATAGGAATAAGAACAAAGAGACATACATTTAATCATTCCTTCTGCACTACTTAGGGTGTGTGTCCTTCGAGTGCTTTTGTTATGAAAATATTTTGAAAATGGTTTGATTTCGTGAAAAATACTTGGTGTTGACCAAGGGTTTATTTGGACCGACGCTACTGTTTATGCGAAAATTTCATTACCACCACAAATTTCGTTTACCTCCTTTTTAGTTATTGTTTAAAATAATTATTTATTTTTTGATATTAGCGACGGTTCAGGCCGACGCTATTGTTTATGAAAAAATATTCATTTCCCATAACAAACTTTGTTTGCCTCCTTATTAGTTATTGTCTTAATTAATTCTTATTTTCTTATATTAGCGACGGTTAAGGCCGACGCTACAGTTTGTGCTAAATTTTTAATTTTCCCCCACGAATTTCGTTTGGCTCCATTAAACTTATTGTTTTAATTAATTATTATTTTTATATTAAAAACTAGTACTTTAATAGCTCTTTTAAAGTGCTATTAAACAGAAGCGTTTACATTAGCGGCACGGTTAATAGCGCTTTTCCATGCTTTCAAAAACAAAAGAAAGTTCTAGTAAATAACTTTTATGGCATATTGTATGTTGCTCTATTTCTTCTTTCAGAGTTGGTTTACCCTTTTGGACAGAAGAGATCACTATTGTTTTTCTTTACTAGAATCTTCATAAGAGAAGCATACGTCTAACTAGTCTTTTTCCTCCATTTCACTGCAAAAGTATATAGCACGAATAAAACTAAAGTTCATGAGTGAAGGTGAGCATTCGAACGATAACTTATACAACATACGTCCTAGGAAAAAGAACAAAGGGACATACATTTAATCATTCCTTCTACACTACTTAGGGCGTGTGTCCTTCGAGTTCATTTGTTATGAAAATATTTTGAAAATGGTTTGATTTCGAGAAAAATACTTGGTGTTGACCAAGCGTTTATTTGGACCGACGCTACTGTTTATGCGAAAATTTCATTATCACCACAAATTTCGTTTGCCTCCTTTTTAGTTATTGTTTTAAATAATTTTTTATTTTTTTATATTAGCGACGGTTCAGGCCGACGCTATTGTTTATGAAAAAATATTCACTTCCCATAACAAACTCCGTTTGCCTCCTTATTAGTTATTGTCTTAATTAATTCTTATTTTCTTATATGAGCGACGGTTAAGGCCGACGCTACAGTTTGTGCTAAATTTTTAATTTTCCCCTACGAATTTCGTTTGGCTCCTTTAAATATATTGTTTTAATTAATTATTATTTTATATTAAAAACTAGTACTTTAACAACTCTTTTAAAGTGCTATTAAACAAAAGCGTTTACATTAGCGGCACGGTTAATAGCGCTTTTCCATGCTTTCAAAAACAAAAGAAAGTTCTATTAAATAACTTTTATGGCATATTGTATGTTGCTCTATTTCTTCTTTCAGAGTTGGTTTACCCTTTTGGACAGAAGAGATCACTATTGTTTTTCTTTACTAGAATTTTCATAAGAGGAGCATACGTCTAACTAGTCCTTTTCCTCCATTTCACTGCAAAAGTATATAGCACGAATAAAACTAAAGTTCATGAGTGAAGGTGAGCATTCGAATGATAACCTATACAACATACGTCCTAGGAATAAGAACAAAGGGACATACATTTAATCATTCCTTCTGCACTACTTAGGGCGTGTGTCCTTCGAGTGCATTTGTCATGAAAATATTTTGAAAATGGTTTGATTTCGAGAAAAATAGTTGGTGTTGACCAAGCGTTTATTTGGACCGACGCTACTGTTTATGCGAAAATTTCATTAACACCACAAATTTAGTTTGCCTCCTTTTTAGTTATTGTTTTAAATAATTATTTATTTTTTTATATTAGCGACGGTTCAGGCCGACGCTATTGTTTATGAAAAAATATTCATTTCCCATAACAAACTCCGTTTGCCACCTTATTAGATATTGTCTTAATTAATTCTTATTTTCTTATATTAGCGACGGTTCAGGCCGACGCTACAGTTTGTGCTAAATTTTTAATTTTCCCCCAAGAATTTCGTTTGGCTCCTTTAAACTTATTATTTTAATTAATTATTATTTTTATATTAAAAACTAGTACTTTAACAGCTCTTTTAAAGTGCTATTAAGCAAAAGCGTTTACATTAGCGGCATGGTTAATAGCGCTTTTCCATGCTTTCAAAAATAAAAGAAAGTTCTAGTAAATAACTTTTATGGCATATTGTATGTTGCTCTATTTCTTCTTTCAGAGTTGGTTTACCCTTTTGGACAGAAGAGATCACTATTGTTTTTCTTTACTAGAATCTTCATAAGAGAAGCATACGTCTAACTAGTCTTTTTCCTCC